ATTCCTTTTTTGAATTTCCTTCAATGCAATGAGATAATTCAAGAAATAGAAGCAATTCCGAATCCTGCTCCCATAATCAATTTGATGAAACCTCTGATTAAACTTTGGGTCAAATCATAGACATTATATAAGTAACGTTCGGAAAAGCTAAATTGAAATTTTTATGCAATATTATTTGTACTGGAATGGAAATACATATATAATATTTTGACATTGCATTTAAATAACATTAAAAAGTCTTGGGAAATTTTGTGGCTTTAATATAAATTTCAGTTTAACGATGCTAGAAGACCGTGAAAACATATCTTCTTACGAAGTAGTTCATCCTTAAGCTCCTAACTTATTTTCTTCTCCTGTTTTGAAGGAAGTAGTTCCGTTTCGCGGCCGAACTTTGACATTCCACCACTTCGAACGAGTCTGTCGCGAAAGTTTAATTAGATTCACCTTGAGGCAATTCCAGGCTCCTCTTCCATCGGTCGCTGGCAGCAAGTTAATGAGTCGATAATAAATTTTATTTAGTTATAAAGATAATGCCTTTAATGAATTTGAGGAAATATTCAAACTGCTTCGTTTGATTACCACAGAATTCTATTAAAATTTCACTATATATAATAGTTCAAAAGAAAATTTCTATTACTATATATATATATATATATATAAATATATAAAATCTGTTAGAGATCATTTTTCTCTTTTTTTAATGTATAATTCTGTGGCGGTAATTAAATTTTACGGTAAATGAAACAAAACATATTCAAACACATTTTTTCTATCTTTTATCATTTATCCGTAATTGAAGACGCATTTTTACCGCGAATGGAATATTTTTGTAATGTCTTTATTATCAGCTGAGTGACGATTAACATATGCACATGATTATTTCATTTTCTACTATCTCATAGTTCATCCTATCATTCTGTATAAATAAATTGTAAATAAATTAGCAATCACAATATAGTTTGAAATATACTATACGGGGCGCTTCCCGAGCAACGGGTTTGGTGTGACGATAGGCGAGCACATATGCCAGGAGTTGATAGAATGGTAGATTTACACGATACCAAAATACAAGCGGTGAATTGACCTCGACCGGGGAACTTTATCGCATTACGCCATACGGCGTTTTTCGTAGCGTCGTGAGGTCTCGTTACACTGTGGGCTCTAACCTCATCGAATTGACCCTCTACTTTGACTTAGTCCAAGACAGAAATAACGTTCTTCGTCCTGCGGTATCCGACCCCCCCGTCGGAGAATCAACGAATTCCCCAGATGACTCTGAAAAGCCGCACGAGGATTTCCGACGTCATAAGAACGGCTATTAAGACAGCGATAATAGTCGGCGATATAATTCGCCTTTGTTAATTAAAGCGTAACGAGGCGATAGCTCAAAGGTTTCATATAATGGATCGGACACCGCGATCTTCATCTTTGATCCTCCACAATACGACTCATAATTTATTCACAGGAAATTCCCGGGACTATTTTATAGATTCCGATTTTATCTCAAGATAAATCTGATTTAGGTTTTTTTTATTACTGTGTACGAGATTTGATCAATTAATCATTGAATTTTTATTTCCATTAATTTTTAATATCTAAATATTGCATGTGTATAAATATCAATACATTCACATACAATAGTAGATTTATTATTATTTTATTTATCGTAAAATACATATAAAAACATATAAAAAAATAAAAACTATATTTAAATTGTTTAAACAAAATTAAATCTATATATTTAATTTTATTTTCAACAATAGAATTTAATCTTTTTATATCTAAGTCTATATATTAAACTTAATATTAACTTTATATTAAACATTATTATTTAATGTTGTTTGTATCGTCGTGCAAAAAAGTTTCCTGTATTCGCGTATGAATAATTTTGATTTAATCAAATCTATTGTATCTTGTTTCTTTACTGTGCGTCATCACTGTGAGTCTTAATTACGAGCACAGAAAGGGACTTCTTTTGCGAGAAGAAATCTTCGCGGGCACACTACCGGATTTTACCTTTCCGTTTCCCCTCAGTCATTACTCTATCGGGTTTCTTTTCGTAGTTTCTTCTGTCGACGTTGCAAAAAGAAGAACAATTCCTTAATTTCCTATATAGTGGCTATATTGTCCGCTATCCCAGGACGCCCCGCTGCGTTATAGCGCAGTTTAATCACACTACAAGCGCGCATCTCTCGTTAGCGAAATATCATAGTCGCTATAATATGCGGCTACATTCCACACAACGACGTATATGTACATTGCGAGATGTACAAGACATTTTCACTGCTCGGAATGGCATCTAAATCTTGCGGTGCTGTTGCGAAATCGATAATAATCTTTTCTTTGATGAGAAATGGAAAACAAATTGGCACTGTTACGCTTTACGTGTAAATTGAAAAATAGCACTTATTATATAGGCGAGTTATTATACGATATTTCCTTATAAACTTCTTGGTAATTTTTTTTATGCCGAACACAATTTTATCGTGAAAACTTAGAAAGCTTGCAGCATTGTCACTTGATTTATTTTATATACTCGTAAAAGCTGTTCAATTACTTCGTTTTTCTTTGTATAACTTGTATCTTTGTAAGAGGAGCGTAATTTTAGATTATTATAAAATTTAAATTTTTTTTTGTGATGCAAAGAAAATTAATACCATACTTTTTAACATAATTTTTTCTAAAACATTACATTGTAATACTCTGATAAATAGTACGATCGTAACATAATGCTTTTTATATCTAAATATATTTTTGTGTTTGTTGAACAGTTTTAGACTGTCAATAAAACATTTATGTTATTTACATTATATATTAGTGTCTCGCGTTACCGATTATTGGATCTATAGTGAATATGATCATCAAAAAAGCAACGAGGAATGAGGAACAGTTACATTGAAGAGCGTTGCACATAGTTGAAAAACAGTCCTAAGAAAACCGAAGAAAGAAACAGATCCTGAACGAAAGGGGATGCTTGCAATAATTGTGATTTACGATTTGGATGCTCGCAAAGTAAAGCGCGGAGAGATCGTTTGAAACCGTGGCGACGTATTTTTCGAAGCAGAAGAACTGGTCGGCAAGACGAGAAGATGAAGAAAAAGACAACAGGGTACGAGGGAGGAAAGAAGGAAGCGAGATTACGGGCTTCCCGCTTTTTGACAAATCACTGATGGAAAATCCAGCGAACCGTGGAGAACCGCGATATACTAGACTGTATCTTTATACTATCTGTAGGCTTTGTGTAATTATTATGTGTATCTATGAAAATTATCTTAACGAGTATAAACTTTAATTGGTGTTCTTTTTCACGATTTTTAGGAACCGATGGGTTAAATGGCAAAGCTCATAATTCCGTTTTGTGATACGGGGAAATCAATTTTTTATTAATTTTTTATTAAATATACTCAAGGTATTACTGTGTGTGCCTGATATAGTGACACGTCTTATTACACGCTGATATACTAGATTCTAAAACGAAATATTACATGGGTTTTCGTTTTCAATATGTATACATCTAGCAACATATTGTTTGAAGATTACACAGAGTTAATCCGTGTACTTGATAAATTCATAGTGGCAAACTGTATATAATATTGAGAGATATAAGTTGAGGGAGGAAAATTTTAGCATATGAAAAGCTTAGTGAAGCATTTCACAGTAGCAATCGAATCCTCAGTGTTTCGGACCTCAGCGACATTCGTTTATCTGTCTCACTCTCTCTGTTTTCATCTCTCTTGTGTCGTCAGCTTCGGTTGAGCATTTACTGGCATAGAGGGTAGGACGCAATCAGTGCTCTTGATTTATCGTGGCAATATACATTAAGATACCGACATTAAAACTAGGGGAGTCTCCCATGGATCCCGAGGTTTCATTATCGCTTAGAACAGAGGAGAACTGTCGTCACATTGCATCGAAATGCTTGGAGGAGATTGAATTCTCAGTTGCACTTGACACCTTCGACATTTTTCTGAAATTAACAGTGATCTGTTGTTCGCATGCATTCTTATTTTCTTTTTCATTAGTAATAGAAACCACAATTTATTTATCCTGGCTATTTTCTTGATGCTTCCATGGGTGCTTTCTATATAACTAATCCGTGCTTTTCTTCATGTCTTGGTCCATTCTTGATGTGCCAACCACGAAACGTTGGCACATCAAGAATGGACCAAGACATGGAGAAAACCCGCGAAGCACAGATTAGTTATATACTGGCTATTGTTAACAAGTGGATGCATTATTGATGTTATACTGATTATAAAAAATAAACTATTACAACCGTCAGAATATTATATAAGAGAATTTTTTAATCAATAATTTGAAATATCAATAAGAAGGCACAGACACGCGCACACATACACGTATACACACGCACATCGATTGCCAATGTCACGAGCAAATTATAAATATTATTAAATTATAAGTAGTATTACCATTAAATTTTATATATATATTTATGTTACAAAAATCTAATTTTATTCGATCATTTTAATTATGTATTATTTTAAATTTAATTCGGTACATAATTGTAATTTGCGCATCACTTACCGCGCTAAACACTTATTGCCAATTATTGCATTCATATATTTTTTTATATTTATTATTTAATATTTTTGAATTATTAACGTTTCTTTCAAGAAATTATCTCAAAGGAAACTAATTTATTTTTTTCTCTTTCGTCAGTGTGCTAAAACTATGCAAAAATATGAGTCAAAAGAATTCGCTAAAAATGCTAAGAATATTTAGAGTTTACGATATAAGCTTTTGAAATTATCAGTGATATGACTCGTGACTTTAGTAAATCACATGACACAGCTCACCGTGCTCCCCGATACGTGCTCTTCTCGATCTCCCTCATCCTACCTCTTTGCCATGAGGAGACTGAGTATCGAGTGGGCATCAAAGTCTCGAGTTCCTCGAGAACTTTGGAAGGGGTCACGGCGAGCTTGTCCAGTACCCGCCTGCCAATTACGGAACAGAGATCTAACCGTAGTAATGTGTAGTGTTTCCACCATTGTCTGCAGGACCAAGTGGGGCATACAGTCCGGATGCGACGATGGGCTACATGATGGACGGACAGGCGGCCAGCATGATGCACCGACCGCCTGGCGATCCTACCTTTCACAATCAGTATCATTATCCAGAATACTACGGACATCACTTATAAAGGTTTGTGTATATTATGCTGATGTTCCGATTATCAATTTTTTACGTTGAATTACAGTGTGTGTTCTTATGAATTAACTTATATGTTTGTTTCATCTCATTATCATTTATCTTGGGTCGATATTTTTAAATCAATATTATTATAATTGAAATTTTTAGTGAAATGAATCGCAATTCTCTTGTTCACTTTTACTCTAGAGGATCTAGCTTATTTTTTTTAATTTATGTATTTATTATTGTTATTATTATTTCAAGGTAATTTCTGTTTATAATATCAAGATTTATTTATTTTTCATTCTTATTTACTAAATTTTCGCAGACTGTTTCTATCAGAAGGAAATATTTTTCTATTCAAACTCCCTAATATTTATCATAGTCAATATGATAAATTTAAACAGGAATTGAATTTGTATTTTTTTATTTGTGACTGTTGTAACATGTGACTGTTGAGCTGCCCAAGCTTATATAATCTATTAAAAAATAATGACTAATAAAACAATCAATTAATTATATATTTATGAGGGAGATTTCAAAAAGAGAAAGAGAGAGAGAGAGAGAGATTTTATAAAGAAAAATATTCATCAATGTTACGAATAAAATAGATTATTTAAAATGTCTTATATTTTTATTTTATTTTAATATTATTTTCGAAATAACATTTTCGTTAGACTGAGGATCGCCAACCTCGGATGTTTCAGAAGTACTTGCAAAATGGAATGGGCGAAACGATGGTTCTAGCAACACGAAAAGCGTGATGGACCTATTGTGCTCCAGTTGGCGCAGATCAGAATCGGGGGACAACGATGATCCGTGACCTCCAGGACGATCACCACGACAGTCTTGATGATTTCTTACTACGCCACACGTCGAAATTCGTGATACTTGGGTGCTTGGGGATGAGGGAGAAATACAAAAAGAAAAGGACAGAATCAAGTTCCCGTTTAAAAGAGAAAGGACAAGGTAGATGAAACGCCGCAGGAGGTCGATCGAGATCGTAGAGACGTCGAAGGAAGAAAGACGGTTGCAAGATGAAGCAAAATGGCTACGAACGCGAGGAAAAAGGATGAGAGGAATGAAGCCGCGGCTTGGTCTCGAGAGTGACGCGGTCGCGAAGAAATTCATGTGATTGTTCTTTGTACAAATATCGCGGTGTAATATTGTAGTGATTGAAGAATTTAAATGTTAAATTTTAATACAGTCGCGATCGAGATATATTAATGAAATATAAGTGATATATAGGCAATTTTAGCGGGCATGTACATTAAAAAAGGAGAGGCAAATACACACCCGGTGCTCGCACGGAATAGAAAATATGTTCAATGCACAGACGACGCAAAAGAGGTAAAAGAGAGTACGAGAGACACGAAAAAGAAGAAGACAAACGAAATGGCAGTATATATATATATATATATATAAATATATATATATGTGTATGTGTGTGCGCGCGCGTGTGTATGTGTATGTGTGTGTGCGCATATATATATTATGAATAT